CTCTAGTGGCTGTCTGGTAAACAGCCATTAGAGGCTGACAGTCTATCTGGAACTGCAATGTTTAACATTGCAGCACTAAGGGCAATAGGGACACTGCACCCAGACCACTTCAATGAGCTTCACCCAGTCTCAATATTTTTTTAAAATTTGGGCTTCAATTTGCTACAATTCAGAATTAAGGTAACACTATAGTAACCAGAATGTAGCTGTTCTGGCAGCTATAGCCTGTCCCTCCAGGCATTTTAATATAAATACTGCCTTTTAAGAGAAAATGTAGTGTTTACATTGATGCCTAATTACATCTCTAGTGGCAAAAACCTAGACAACTATTACTATGCGCAATAGCCTCACAATGCTTTCCAGTGGGAAAGCATTGGATTGGCTGAGCTCAAGGTTGATGATCTCAGTAAAGTACGAGCGGGAGCAGAGCCAGCAGTCAGGAGCACCTCCCGACACTAGCAGAGGCCAAGTAAATAACCTTTTTACTGCAGGGAAGGCCACCAAAACATTGATCTTCGCTATAGTGTCAGGAATACTAGTGTTCCTTTAAGAAAGAAAGAAAAACAATTACTCTCCTGGGCACCCACATTTTAACAATGCTGCTATTTGCTTATCGTTTACCAGCAGTAGGATGGCTTTCTTGGGCCAAGTGGGGACTGGATTGACCATGTAGAGACAAGGGCTTCAGCAAACCGTTCTCCTACTGCAGTTTCTCATTCACATATGCTGGGAGAAAGTTATTTGAAATCAGTTCCACCCAACACAGCCACAACTGGCCTAAGTGCCCCTGAACTCACACTTTAATTGGACAGATTTCTTCTCTGTCAGGCTAGCTCTGTGGGTCATCATCTGATCTTCCCAGTCTATTTGGGTCCAGCAGCTTTGGGTGCCTTACAAAGACACCTTGCATGCCATCAGTTGTCGAGACATACCATAGTGGTCTTCATATTGCTAGTCTGTAAATGATAACAGAACTACAGCATCAGAAAGACACTAGAAGTCGAATTGTTCAGTCTACTGGCTCTCCCTTACCTCCAGTTAAAAATGTGATTTTACTCACCTTTTTTTTTTTCCCCAAGCAATGTGCAGGTCCAGCTCCGACCATGCTTCACTCCCTTGGCTGATATCAAACTTTCTCATCCAATCCAATGCTTTCCCATACTAAACCATTGGTAGACTGTTGTGCATGTGCAGCAAAAGTAAGCTCTGCGCCAGTCAGAATCTCCTTATAGATATGCATTGACTCAAAATGCAGTGTTTACATTAAAACGCCTGCAGGGACAGGTTATAATCACCATAAAAAACAAAGAATATGAGAACTGGACCAAGCTTAGGCAAACTCCGTAGCTTTCCCTTTTACAAATCCATGCTAAAGTCTCAAATTATCATTTACAGTTGCAAGAAAAAGTATGTGAACCCTTTGGAATGATATGGATTTCTGCACAAATTGGTCATAAAATGTGATCTGATCATCATCTAAGTCACAACAATAGACAATCACAGTCTGCTTAAACTAATAACACACAAAGAATGAAATGTTGCCTTGTTTTTATTGAACACCATGTAAACATTCACAGTGCAGGTGGAAAAAGTATGTGAACCCCTAGACTAATGAGACTAGACTAATCTCCAAGAGCTAATTGGATTTGGAGATGTCAGCCAACTGGAGTCCAATCAATGAGATGAGAGGTGTTGGTTACAGCTGCCCTGCTCTATAAAAAACACACACCAGTTCTGGGTTTGCTTTTCACAAGAATCATTGTCTGATGTGAATGATGCCTCGCACAAAAGAGCTCTCAGAAGACCTACGATTAAGAATTGTTGACTTGCATAAAGCTGGAAAGGGTTATAAAAGTATCTCCAAAAGCCCTGCTGTTCATCAGTCCATGGTAAGACAAATTGTCTATAAATGGAGAAAGTTCAGCACTTCTGCTACTCTCCCTAGGAGTGGCCGTCCTGTAAAGATGACTGCAAGAGCACAGCGCAGACTGCTCAATGAGGTGAAGAAGAATCCTAGAGTGTCAGCTAAAGACTTACAAAAGTCACTGGCAAATGCTAACATCCCTGTTAGCAAATCTACAATATGTAAAACACTAAACAAGAATGGATTTCATGGGAGGATACCACAGAGGAAGCCACTGCTGTCCAAACAAAACATTGTTCCAAAGCAGTACTGGAAAAATATTCTGTGGACAGATGAAACCAAAGTTGAGTTGTTTGGAAGAAACACACAACACTATGTGTGGCGAAAAAAAGGCACAGCACACCAACATCAAAACCTCATCCCAACTGTAAAGTATGGTGGTGGGGGCATCATGATTTGGGGCTGCTTTGCTGCGTCAGGGCCTGGACAGATTGCTATCATCGAAGGGAAAATTAATTCCCAAGTTTATCAAGGCATTTTGCAGGAGAACGTAAAGCCATCTGTCTACCAGCTGAAGCTCAACAGAAGATGGGTGTTGCAACAGGACAATGACCCAAAGCACAGAAGTAAATCAACAGAATGGCTTAAACAGAAGAAAATACGCCTTCTGAAGTGGCCCAGTCAGAGTTCTGACCTCAACCTGATTGAGATGCTGTGGCATGACATCAAGAAAGCGATTCACACCAGACATCCCAAAAATATTGCTTAACTCAAACAGTTCTGTAAAGAGGAATGGTCAAGAATTACTCCTGAACGTTGTGCACGTCTGATCTGCAACTACAACAAACGTTTGGTTGAGGTTATTGCTGCCAGAGGAGGTTCAACCAGTTATTAGATCCAAGGGTTCACATACTTTTTCCACCTGCACTGTGAATGTTTACATGGTGTGTTCAATAAAAACATGGCAACATTTCATTCTTTGCGTGTTCTTAGTTTAAGCAGACTGTGATTGTCTATTGTTGGGACTTAGATGATCAGCTCACATTTGTTGACCAATTTGTGCAGAAATCCATATCCTTCCAAAGGGTTCACATACTTTTTCTTGAAACTGTATATAGCGCCAACAGATTCCGTAGTACTTTAAATATTGGGGGAATTTAACTATAAATAAGACAATTACAAAAAAAAAAACCTTACGGGAACGATAGGTTGAAGAGGACCCTGCTCAAACAAGCTTACAGTCTATAGGAGTTGGGTTATAAACACAATAGGACAGGAAATAGCAACCAAATAAGGTGGGAGTGAAGCAGAGCTGGAGGAGAGTAAGAGACAGGTATGGGAGATAGAAGTTACTCTGGGAGGCCATAAGCTTTCCAAAAGAGATGGGTTTTTAAGGCACTTCTTAAACGATCGAATACTAAGAGAGGGTTTGATGGTGGTAGTCTGGCTATTCCATGAGAAGCAAGCCAGCCGCAAGCGAGAGTTGGACGTACGGGTGTGAGCAGTGGAGAGAAGGTGGTCACGGGCAGAGCGGAGAGATGGATAAGCAGCATACCTATTGATCTGTGTAGACACATAAGAGGGGTTAGAATTGTTCAGTGCTTTATAAGTATGGGTTAGCACTTTGAATTGACTATAGGACACAGGAAGCCAAGATAAGGACTGAGAGCGGTAAGAAAATCAGTTTGATGGGGGCAGCATTCATTACAGACGGTAGCGGGGCAATATGACGTTTAGGAAGAACAATTAGGAGAGGGTAACAAAAATCCATGCGGGAAGTTACCAGTTCAAGACTACAGAGTTCCTTTAAATACAGCAACAGAAGTTGCCAACTTTAACTGCCACAGACTGTATTTAAAGCAAGAATACAAGCCTTTGAACAATATCCAAGTGACCACTTTGGGAGTTTGCAGCCTGTATCTACGGCAGGTGCAGACCATATTGCACCTGCTGTAGTGGTGCAGCATTACTTCCTGAAGTGGATAGGACAAAGCTCTAATTCTTTACCCAGTACTACAAGCAATCCCTAGGAATCAACTTTTTCCCGCCCAGCCTAATGTAAGCAAGAAGAATGGGGAATAAGACTCTCCCTAGTAGCAAGAAGCTCTGTATTACACTAATAAGGGTAGACACCCCCACAGCCGTGTATTCTTACAATTTACCTACTGGAAACCATAGGCCTTACTTACACCCTGACCTAGCGTTATTTGGGATTAATCTAGAATTAGATTTTGTGGGTGTTTAGAGTAGTTGAATTTAAGGCCAAGATTAGGGGTTATGAGTGTTAGAAGTTATTGGTTAGGGTTTAAGATTTAAAAAGAAAAAAAGTAATATATATAGGAGGCATCCCTGAAAATGCAACCTTTTTCAAACTGGATTAACAATTCTTCTGTTGTCTACCTTCCTAAAAATAGGCTCAGCTGCCCTTATGCTAGATTATACATTAACACCAACCTGGTCCGCCTGAGGTTTCTGTGGCTGTATCTTCTTTACAAGGTCTATGAAAACGTTCAGGTAATTATTTTGGATGGTTTAATTTCTATACTGTGAACAACTCAACAGAAAAGGAAGGGGCTGTAAACCTAACTTTGTCAGGATGTTTATTCCATGCACTCAAGGTAAAAACCAAAACAACTCGTTTAGAAGTGACATGAGAAAATACATAATTAAATGTGTGCAGACTATCAATTTTCAGAAGAAGAAAAAAAAAAAAAAAAAAATCCATCAGGTAATCTATAGCAAAATATTAAAGGTTTTCCACATTCCATGTCAAGCTAGTTTTCAGATTTCTCTACTGAGAAAGAATGCAGGAAAAAACAAAACAAAAAAAACAAGTTATGTCTGAACTGCAGTAAGAAAAAAATAAAAATCACAATGCTTTATTCAAATTCAGTTCTGAAACCACTCAAATTTTAAAAACAAAAAAAAATTATCACAAGCTATAAATTGACAAAACTAGGCTCATTTATGTATACACTTTTAATGTTTTAAATTTCATTATCAAAGACAAAATATTGCAGAAGAAAACAAAGTAAGCATAGAAAGTGTAGCACAATTTTCTGTTAATGCAGCTTTATCACATACATTTTGCACTTCAGGCATAAAAATGCAGAAGCGTAAACTGATTAAATTCACTTTAAATGGCATCAATATCAAGGTCATCATCTTTCTCAACAGGTGACTTGACAGTTTCCACTTTTGGAACGCTCACAGTTGCTGAATACACAACCTGCAGAGACAAAAACACAATTAATGTATATAGGAAATCCCCACCCCCCCAAAAAGACAAGACACCACAGTAACTGCTCAAGACTAAACTTACTTCAAGGTTTTCATCTTCCTCTTCCTCTTCATCATCATCATCTTCACCAGAAGACTCTTCCTCTGCTTCTTTCAGCCATTTAATGAATGGTTCTGCCTTTGCACGTATATCTTTGGCAAGCTCTTTAGAGACATACTTTTTTGAAGGCTACAAAAGCACAGAAATCTTGTTAACAGGTAGCACACAAATTGGTTAATAGTACATACATATGCAAGGAGCTAAGCCATATTTTCAGGTTTCACAGGCACGATCTTGGGGACAATCTGATATTTACTAGCAAAATTACTCTGCAAAACCAAAAATCATAAATCCCCTTTGTCTCAAATTAAAAACGGCTCAAATCTAAAACCACCGAAGAAAAGAAGAGCTTGATAAAGATATCAAGGCAATGCCTGGTGTCTGAGGGGCTCTGCAATTAAACAAAGTTGTAGATCCTAGTGCAGAGTATTGGTACATGGATCTGGATAACATATCTCCTCCCCCACCCCACCAGCTAGATGCAGGACTCCAGCAACATTAACATGAAGGTGACAGAGACCGAGAAACCCCTGCCACGCTTGCAGAATCACATGTAGAATCATAATGGAAACATCAAGGTATATTACTTGGGAAGCACAAGCACATACTTGAGAGGCTCACACCCTCACCCCAGCTTTATACGTGATCCTCCTGACTGAGAACCATATGCCCCTGTTTCCATATATGGTTTAGGTGCCAGGGCCTAATTAGAGAAGTTACATTAAAGTCAATAGGCTTCCCATATAGGATGTCATTACATCAGGGATGTTGACGTTTAGAGGAAATGTACTACTATGCTGGATTTATACCTGTACCCCTATTTTCCCTACAGCGTAAAGTTAATGGTTAACATCAGACTGGAGTGCCTTTAAGATGCCATGCACGCTCAAGATTGCAGAAGAACTAAAACCATGTTTTCCCACTAGAAAATGAAATTCCCTAGGATCTGTCATAACCCCAAAGTAATTCGAAAATAACTACTGCTAATACTTAGTGTTAAGGGCATGAGGCATATAAGCCTAGTAGATAAAGTTTTCACATTTACTTACAATGAATTTCACCCACCTTTTCAGCCCAGCTGATAATTACATCCTCTTCTAGGAGGTCTGCATCATACATTTCTTTTAGGATATGTGGTATTTTGGACAGGAGATGTGACTGGTGTATATCCACAACACACTCAAAACCATGGAGTAGGTACTTCTGTGCTTTTTTGTTATTATGGCAAAACTAAAAAACAAAACAAAAAAGGCAACACTTTATCTGGTATTTCAAGTAACAGTCAATGCATCTATATGCTACTGTAGCTGTGCATGCTTCAGAAAGACGTTTAGTTTACAAACATGTAAATAATTTTGGAGATGTCGCCATGCATGCATATGGATCAATGGCATAAAAACAAAAACCCAGACATCTTACAACACAACCCACACTAAATTGCCCCTACTGAAATTCAGACTCGGGAAAAGATACCTCTCTTTGAAACTTACACGGAGGAAGTGACGTCTGTATTTCTTTATCTGATCTCTGATCTGGTCATTAAACAGAACCTCAGTTAAGACCAACGGTCCCATGGCTGTCACCTCAAGCCTTTCAGCTTCAGCCAAAATATCTTTGTCAGATGAGTCAATAACGCCTTCTTCTTTCTTTTTCTGTAAATAAATAGACTTTAAGTAAATACTAAACTTATATAAGTGTCACAGTAGAAATATTACATTAAATATACATACCTTGACATAGTCAAATAATAGATTCACGCGATCTTCAATAGATCTCTCCAGGTCTTCCGTAAGTGTAAGGTTTTTTGCATGATTACTTATTTCTTGCATTCTACGTTCTTGAGCCTCAGCGGTTGTCTCTTCCCCCCAGTCTTCGTCATCTTCATCTGCATTCTATATTAAATAATTTACAGTAAAGTTACATCAAAACATCTGTGTGCAAGTTTAACAAGAAAAAACAATTCACACTGGGTACATAAGACAGGTTAACTCACCACGTTAGGAGGGTTGAGTTCTGTTAGAACGGGGGACTCGTTGTTTGCTACTGAACCATTTTCTTTTTCTTTTCCCTTCCTGTTCTTCTTATCCTTTTCCTTTTTGCCTGTACCACTGTCTGTATTCTCTACAAGACAGAAAATAAGTTAAGTACCTTCTCATTTGAGCTCCACAATATTCAGACTTTGACTTAAATACTTTAATGTCAATAGCCTACAGAATAGTACATTTCTCAAAGAAAATACTGTAATCTTAGGCTTGTGATTAATTTAGCAAGCGAAAAATTGTGACAGAAGAAAGTCATCTGCCCCAGAGTGTGGCTTGCACGAGAAGCAATGGACAATTCAAAGACCTTTAATCCCAATCCATTAAATTTTTCACGAAAAAAGCTCAGTTTTCATGATATGATCCATTTAATTTCCAACTGATATGCTTGGATATACTTTTAACGGTGTCAACAAATTCCAAATTTTTATTCCCCCTTTTCTAAAGCCACACATGAATGATTTCAAATTGATAAACTGAATAATTAGAACCTTTAGGAGAGAACAGAACAACAATATGCATACACATGTGCAGGACCAATAGGGAGTGAAAATCTAGCCCGGCGAGTAGCATATGGACTCTCCAGTTTTACAACACGGTATGCCGGCGACAGATGTAATGAGCTTCTAGCGTTGCAGGCAGTGTGCCTGTGAGGGGATGCTTGAACCCCTTTTCTCCATTAACGGGTCAGAGTAACCATTTAAGTAGCACTATCCTGGAGGGTTTAACAACTAAAATTTAGTATAATTGATCAGATAAATTGCAAAGCAATCTACATGCAATGGTGAGGCAGGTAATCCAAACTTTTAACAAGAGTTTCAGTTCTATGGAATTGAAACCAAAGTTCTGCTGATGTCCAAAACATAGTGCCTGACACTCACCTGGTGGGTTTTTGAGAATGAAAGTACAGAGCTTATGGTTTGTATCCAGCATGCCTCTGTAGCCACAGGCTTTGCAAGAATTGCCTATTGTTTGTTTCTTGGGATTGACATGCTGTACAAAAAAAAAAATTACAAAAAAATTAATATGACTGTTCAATAGTTGAACAAAATTTGCTTTATCAAAAATGAAATCTGTCTGACAAAGTTGTTTTAACCTACCAGATCAGTTTCAGGATTATCACACTCAGGACATAGAACAAACTTCTTAATAAAACCATCCAACATGTCTTGCAGCTTATTTGCCTCATGAGATCCATTGACAATGAAACGGTCATTCTTAACATCAAACTGGGTCTGTGCTCCCAGCTCACAACCAAAAAATTTGGTGGGATCTGCAAACATACCAAAAACATTTTAGGACATGTCTAAACAAGCACACAAAAGAAAAAATAAATACAATTATATATTATACATACACATACAAATTATATATAAAAATTGAATTTGCAGGGCTCTAGTCTCACAGGGGTTAAAGTTCCGTACTGTCCATGCCGAATAGCAAGTCTGCCAATGACAATGTTACAGAAAAGAGCAGCACACTAGAAGACATCCATAAAGACCTAAATATGACACTTGCAAAATAGCTTTGCTTGCTATTGACATGGAAAACAATGTTGAATTAAAATACAACATTGCCTTTTTTAATTTTGCTTTTTGCCTCTAACTGGGTTATTCACTAAAGTGAGAATTCAAGGGGAGTTGAAAATGGATTTTAAATTTAAGGCAGAGTAGCTGAATAGAAAGCATACAGGCATTGACCTACTTTTAATTCACCCTTTAAATAACCATGTAAATCATCATTGAAGGAGCCAATTGACATTCAGCACTGCATGAGAACAGGTTTACAAGGAAGAGCATGATGGGACATATCTTATTTGTAACTTTTTACCACAAGATATGCAACCCAATTAAACAGAACAACCCATTTGGAGTTTGACTTCCAGCAATAGTCTGTCTAGTTGTTCCATATGACAGCAGCCATCTAAAATGGTTTTAAATTAAATGTTATGGTGATCCTGCCAAGTCTGAAGCAGAACCGAAATTTGGGGCACTAAAGCATTTTCACATGCAAAGTCTTTCATTCAATGTCAGGTGTAATCATGGGGAATAACACGCAACTTACAAGCAAAGCTGTCAGAATTTGCTGAAAGTAGGTGTCTGACCCCTAGGTTTCCTTAAACTTTAACCCCCCATACCCCTCCCTTATTTATAAATTAAATGCAAAGATAAAACCTATGTTTACAAAAACCACATAAGTTCAGACAGAAATTTGGTAGGGCAAACATGAAGAATAAAAAAATCGGAAATGAGGGTTGAGCTAGTTATGTTTTAATAAAAACAACTATGTTCCCATACACAAACCTGGACTATACAAACAGCAGTAAATCAATTGTGACATTTTCAGCAGTGCTAAGCATTACTCAATGCACAATTCCACTATGAAATACTGCACAGAAATATAGCCCTTTACTGCCATAGTTAACCCCACCTACACCAGCATCATTGTCAAGATGGCCACACCCCCTCCACCACAGGTGTGAGATTACAGGACCAGGAGAGTCAGAGTTACTGTTTATAATTGGAGTAACCCTTTAAATACAAACCAAACCCACACCTGATAATGACTATATTAATTTAAATAGTTACATGTGACAATTCTGGGAACACTAGTTCCCACTAGGAATACAAACGTGCATTCATGAAACTACATTTAATATAGCCATTTTATAGTGTCAGCCTGCCCCTGTCACCCCGTTAAGAAAAGAGAATTTACTCACCTTTTCCCAGCACTGTATGTTAAAAAAAACAGGCACAGGCAATAGACACCAGAACAACTACATTAAGCTGTAGTTCTGGTGACTATATCGTCGCTTTAATGTGCACAATACATGGAGCGTTAGCAGATTTGATTGCCAATGTGATACCAGAGCAACATTTAATAGGGATATCAATGTTATAGCATTAATAATGAATGGACACTTACACGTTGGAGGCCGATTAAGCGCCTTTGCAACATCAACCATGTTGACTATTACTGTCTTTATTCCATTTCCTTTGCCCTCTACCTGTAACAGAAACAACATAATCAATGCAATAAGAAGTTATAAATGTATTGATTATGTTAAGGGCATCACAGGGAAATCATACCTTGGCAATCAGACGGGGCATTTTGTACCGATAAAACTGATCGGAAACACTGCGGTTGACGTTGACAGACATTTTGTCTTTTTATTAGCCCTTTCAATAAGAGGAAAAGATCTTGGATTGCAACTTTTTGGTATCTTCTGTCTGGAGAAGACTGGATGACATAAACGACTGCAAGAGTTCTCGGTCTCTGACATGAAAATAATTTCGCCACCGAGGCTGTGAGCGTCTTGTTTGTATGCTATGTTTCCCCAATACAGGTACCAATGGCTGCGCAACAGCTCTGTAATAAGAAAAAATAAATAAACACCTCAACACATTCAATATAAATTCTGTTTTTTTAAAAACAAAATCCCAGAGTTTGCAAATCCTTGGACAAACATGCAGGCATCTTACAATACTGAAACAAACTGAACAGTTTCAATTCACAAAATCCAGAAGATGCAAGCCACAACTATGCTCTTTTGTAAGACTTTATTATATTCGGAATATACCACTGAATTAGTGGTTATTGTTTTTGAAATGACATTTTCTTTTCTGACATGTGAAATACCCATTCCTCATTATGAATACAAACAGGAAGTACCATAGAATCAATACATTGCAATTCCAGCCAGAAGTGGTAACAAGTTATTATAGTGTTAAGAATATAATGCCCTAGTCATGCTATAGTGTACCCAAAAAAAAAAAAAATAGTCCTCACGGTTAACCCTCCGCCTCTTCCCAGTGCAAAGGTTCCTGTGACACCGATTAGTCTCGTTCTCCTACAACAATGGTGAGGCATAATGTGCATATGCAACACAAGCCACTAGAGGTGTAGCTAACCCAGTAATGCAAGCATTGCAGTTTCCAAGAAATTGCAATGTTAGTCAGACAGGGACACAGCACCCAGATCACTTCAATGAGATGATGTGGTCTGGGTGCCTATAGTGTGTTTAACCTTAGCGACCAGACCGCTTTTCAGTTTTCTTACCGTTAAGGACCAGGGTGGTTTTTACATTTTTGCTGTGTTTGTCTGTAATTTTCCTCTTCCCCATTTACTGTACCCACATATTATATACCGTTTTTCCTCGCCATTAAACGGTCTTTCTATATATAAAAATAAACATGCACACCTGCAACCTGGTTTGGCTGCCCATATAAAAGGAGCAGAAATATAATCGCCTTGTTCCAGCAGCCTCTGCACCATTGTGCAATAAACACTGACACCATTTGTGGAGGTAACCAGTAAAGTCTCTGGAAACAGCCAGTGAGGGCTTGGACAAAACCTTTTTAAAATGTTGTCCAGAAGCCAAAATCTTTCATCACTAAATCAAACAGCTGTTTGCTTCACTAATGCAGGGGTACCACCTCTAACCCCAGCGCAAACTTATTTAATTAGAGCATGGCTGTGTCACAAGTCGAAAGGTGTGCTTGTTTCCTCAGAAGTATGGGTTTTACACAACATTATTAACATAAAACGAGACAGCAGCTACTATTCATGGTGCTCTAAAAGTCATAACCTATCATTACACGGCAAGACCAGAAGGACAATGTAATGCTTTAACTTCCACATGGAACACTGTATAGTCAGTCTCTCTATTACAAAGCAAATGAGGTGTGTACTTTATTATTTCTCATAAAAATTTAGAGCTCAACTTAAAGGACCACTCTAGGCACCCAGACCACTTCAGCTTAATTCAGTGGTCTGGGTGCCTGGTCCAGCTATGGTTAACCAATTTTTTTTTTTTTTTTTAAATTACATAGCAGTTTCAGAGAAACTGCTATGTTTATAAATGGGTTAATCCAGCCTCTAATGGCTGTCTCATTGACAGCTGCTAGAGTCGTTTGCGTGCTTCTCACTGTGAAAATCACAGTGAGAAGATACCAGCATCCATAGGAAAGCATTATGAATGCTTTCCTATGAGACTGGCTGAATGCGGGCGCAGCTCCTGCCGCGCATGCGCATTCAGCCAAAGAGGAGGAGGAGAGCTCCCCGCCCGGCGCTGGAGAAAGGTGAGTGTTTAACCCCTTCCTCTATCCAGAGCCCAGCGGGAGGGGGACCCTGAGGGTGGGGGCACTATAGTGGTCCTTTAATATTTTGAGAAAAAAAAAAAATATATCTATAAAATAAGAAAAATCAAGGTCATAATGTCTAGAAATGGTTTTCTTGTTGCATAAAAATAAAAAAATATTTAAATCAATATTTACAAAAATAAACAAACGAATGTTCAGTTGGAGGTAATCTGCACATGCATATTAACCTCCACTAAATCTAATTACCAGGGAGACACTCCAGTAGTGTCTCAGGGCTTAAAACCTATACATAGAAAAAAAATGGTAACGATCACAAAAGAACATTGTGGGTGAGTGTTATCTGGATAAATGAACAATATATAACCAAATAAAAGAGGGGGAGAGGAGTCAGGTGCTTAATAATCCACAGCCAAAATGGCTAAGCCTCTGTCTGTAAATTGAACCTAGTTAATTAAGACCATCCCATCTCACTTTCTCTGGCTTTAATAAGTGTTGTCAACGTAAGAGGAATGGATGATATTAAGAATGACAACAGTGAAGTAATGGGTAACTATGTAACAATGTATGGCTAGGTACGAAATTGTTACAAAGAAATGGGAATTCTTTGAGCTGTGAGATGGGATGGTCTTAATTAACTAGGTTCAATTTACAGACAGAGGTTTAGGATTATTAAACACCTGACCCCCTTTTTTATTTGGTTATATACTCTTGATTTATCCAGATAACACTCGCCCACAATGTTCTTTTGTGATTAAATGTTACCAATATTTACAAAAGCTTGCACAAATTTTGGAAGCTGTACAATCACATTTGTGACAGTTTCAATATTTACTTACCCTAGTGTTTACTAAGTTGAGTTGTGTGGGTGCATTTAGCTATGTTTTCATTATTCATATACATCTGCTTAGGCTGCTGTGTGTTTATAAGTCATATGCACAGATTAAGTGTACCCTCATACATTTTGAATGAGTACTCGAATAGCCATGATGCAAATCTAAGACTCAGCTGTAATCTTTCAAGTTTCACCCCCCCCCCGCCCCCCCCAAATTCATTCAAGCATTACAGTTGCATGTGACATTGGCTGTGATAACAATTGAATGCAGTAAGTTACTTTTTACAGATGACGAGCCACATGCAATGCTGCAAGGACATTACAGTTTGTATAACAGATGGGTAACTAAACTAGAAAAACAGACTGCCCAATCATTGATTATCTGAGCACAAAATTACTAGTGGTCTAAATTAAAGGCAACCATTCTTATCTTAATCCAAAGATCTTGCATAATATATTAAAGTAGATCTAAAGTGGAGTTACACATTACCTGAAACCCAAGTTATTCTGTTAATGTAGTTGTTGAACATTGCAATGGCTAGATCAAGATTACTTAAGTCTCAGTTAAAGAGAAAAACAATATTGAATGAACAGAGATATTTTTGCCTACAAATAGTAAATGGTGTTCGGAGCACCCAGGGGTACACCTAGTAATACAGAAATAAGTCTAGATAGCAAACTGAAGCAGCCAGTTTCAAAAGATTCTCCAACCCATCTCAAGTCAAAGTTTTGTTTTTATTTTTAAAGTTCATAAGCAGTTTAGTAAAGTTGGCATACTACAGACTGGCAGGTATCTACATTAACCCATTAAGAACACAGCTTCGTAAGTAAAGTATGATGGAAAATTCCCACCATGTGACCATAAGTTGTTTAAAAACAAAAAACAAAACTATGAGTCAGTAATATGAAAACACCAGAGTTTACTAGAATTCTGCTAAATGAGTCTAAACTTTGACTCAAAAATAAATGAACGAATTGACGAGGTTTCACAAGAAGGAAGAATAAAATGTTGTTAAAGCCAAACAGTGCTGTGACAGCAGACATATTCACTTAAAACTTATAGTAATGTGAATTTGCTATCTTAAAAATACCAACAACTTGCACTTCAGACCAGCTGCACAGGCATGTTACATCAGCCAGTAGTAATTACAGGGTGTGAAGTGAGTTCAGTTGGTGTTTGTGTCCTCCTGGATTAAGATGTAAATAAGCAGCTTCCCTGGAGGGAGAGGTGTCTGCTTGGAGGGGCAACCCCGGGGGGTCTGGGTAACTCACCCTGGAGCACACACTCAGGAGGGGGGAGAGAGGCAGCAGTGAGCAGGCTCCTGATGACTCAGAATTGCAGCACTGAGTCAGCCCAAGCAGCCGCGCATGCGCAATAAGCAACCAGGCCTGGAGCCCAACCCCCCCTCCACCACCAGCCTTATAAACACCCCAATAAAACCGACACCCCCGCCCCCCACTGTCAATATCCGACCCCCTAGCCGTGAGGTTGGGCCCCGGACACGCTGCAGGGAGGCTCCCGGGGGTCAGGGAGCGCGCGGCCCTTACATGCGTCAGAGTCACGAGGCGCGGCCGCCATTTTCTCTCCACATCCCGCCGCGTCCCCGCGGGAAATAACAAGCCACCTACCGAGCCCCCACCCACCGAATAACATACCGACCACAAACACACTCACTTACCGTTTTCGTCCAATAAAGACATAAACACAACGCTGCTCGCCCAGGGGTGCGATGAACGGAGGAGGCAGGATGAAGCGTCTGACACGGGATGGATGGCCCAGCGCAGAGCTGGCCAGGAGACTGGGCACGGGCCGAGCGAGCCGGGGACTTCCACACCCTTCAACCCAACGGGAGATACCCTCCGATCGGGGAACCTGGGGGGACACAGCGAGGGGGAGAGATTACCTCACAAATATTAACACGGGGATTACCCCACAAATATTAAACTGGGAGATTACCTCACAACATAACACACGGGGGAGATTACCCCACAAATATTAACACGGGGAGAGAGATTACCCTCACAAATATTAACCGGGAGATTACCCCACAAATATTAACATTTGGGGAGAGATTACCTCACAAATATTAACACACATCGGGGAGAGATTACCCTCACAAATATTAACTGGGAGATTACCTCACAAATATAACTGGGAGATTACCCTCACAACATAACATTTGGGAGATACCCCACAAATATTAACACGGGAGAGATTACCCTCACAAATACACAAGGGGAGATTACCCCGGCCAAACATTAACACGGGGAGACACCACAAATACACATGGGGAGACACCACAACACATTAACACGGGGAGACACCACAAATACACATGGGGAGATTGACCCCACAAATATTAACCGGGGAGGAGAGACACCACAAATACACATGGGGAGAGATTTCACCCCGTCAAAATATTAACCGGGGAGACACCACAACAATAATATGGGGAGACACCCCACAAATACACATGGGGAGAGACACCACAAATATTAACCGGGAGATTACCCCACAAATATTAATATGGATGGGGATTACCCCACATACATTGAGCATGGAGGCCAGGGAGAGAGCGGGAAGGCCGGGGGAACCCTCCGTGTGTCACCGCACAGACGGCACGCAGAGGGTTAAAATGGCGGCGGGCTGGCAGTGCAGGGGTTAATAATAATAACACTAATAAAGGAGGGGGTGAGTTGTTGTATTAATTAATTAGACGGTTAATTGGAGGTTTGAGATCACTCCCCCCGCAGTCCCGCGCCGGATACTCACCTCAGGAACCGTCTGCAGCCTGTCTGAGCACCGAGACGCTGTGAGCTAGACCCTCCGCCAGAGTCCGGCCCTACCTGTGGGCGGGCACCGCCCCCCAAAGCCTCGCGCCGATTGGCCGGCCGCGGCTGCTCACAGCGCCACGCGATTGGTGGAACCGATGGGCCAATAGGATAAGCGGAGCAGGGAGGGGAGAGAGAGAGAGCGCTGAATGTTCTGGGAGGCTGTGCTGACGTTATCGCGAGACGTGGAGCGAGAACTCGTTTCTAGTTAGAGGTCGAGACTTGAGCGCGTGACCAGTCTGACCTTTGTAACAAGGAGGGAGGGGGAGAGAGGGGATTAACCCCCCAATCCTGACTCCATGTTACACTGAGGGCAGAGGGTTTGGGGGGGGTCTCTGCCTGTGGGACCCCCAATCCTGACTCCATGTTACACTGGGGGGCAGAGGGTTTGGGGGGGTCTCTGCCTGTGGGACCCCCAATCCTGACTCCATGTTACACTGACGGCAGAGGGTTTGGGGGTCTCTGCCTGTGGGACCCCCAATCCTGACTCCATGTTACACTGACGGCAGAGGGTTTGGGGGTCTCTGCCTGTGGGACCCCCAATCCTGACTCCATGTTATACTGAGGGCAGAGGGTTTGGGGGGGTCTCTGCCTTTGGGACTCCCAAACCTGGCTCCATGTTACACTGAGGGCAGAGTGTTTGGGGGTCTCTGCCTGTGGGACCCCCAATCCTGACTCCATGTTACACTGGGGGGCAGAGGGTTTGGGGGTCTCTGCCTGTGGGACTCCCAAACCTGGCTCCATGTTACACTGAGGGCAGAGGGTTTGGGGGTCTCTGCCTGTGGGACTCCCAAATCCTGACTCCATGTTACACTGAGGGCAGAGGGTTTGGGGGGGTCTCTGCCTTTGGGACTCCCAAATCCTGACTCCATGTTACACTGGGGGGCAGACTGTTTGGGGGGTCTCTGCCTGTGGGACTCCCAAATCCTGACTCCATACACTGACGGCAGAGGGTGTGGGGGTCTCTGCCTGTGGGACCCCCAATCCTGACTCCATGTTATACTGAGGGCAGAGGGTTTGGGGGGGTCTCTGCCTTTGGGACTCCCAAACCTGGCTCCATGTTACACTGAGGGCAGAGTGTTTGGGGGTCTCTGCCTGTGGGACCCCCAATCCTGACTCCATGTTACACTGGGGGGCAGAGGGTTTGGGGGTCTCTGCCTGTGGGACTCCCAAACCTGGCTCCATGTTACACTGAGGGCAGGACTGTTTGGGGTTCTGTGGGACTCCCCAAATCCCGACCCATGTTACACTGGGGGGCAGGACTGTTTGGGGGTCTCCCCTTGCCTGTGGGACCCCCAAATCCTGACTCCATGTTACACTGAGGGCAGAGTGTTTGGGGGGGGATCTGCCTTTGGGACTCCCAAATCCTGACTCCATGTTACACTGAGGGCAGAGTGTTTGGGGGGGTCTCTGCCTTTGGGACTCCCAAATCCTGACTCCATGTTACACTGAGGGCAGAGGGTTTGGGGGGGGTCTCTGCCTTTGGGACTCCCAAATCCTGACTCCATGTTACACTGGGGGCAGAGGGTTTGGGGGTCTCTGCATGTGGGACTCTGTGAAGGATCTCTTGTACTTACCTGTGTGCCTTCAGTTATGTCCTCTCCCTGCTGTTTAAATGCTTGTATTCAGTTTGTTTGGTTTGGTATGTGAAGGCTTGTGTTCGTCTACCGAACGAGAGACCACCTACCCTGGGTAGCAATCAGCAATAGAACGGGGAGAAAACCACAACTTAATTGCTCCTGGGTTGCCGCCATTCGGCATACGAACACGTAAGGATGGCGGCCATCTTAAAACTTGCAAACGCGATCAGCGGGCTTACGTATGAATTGCTTGGAACTATTTTCGTCAAGGCAAACATGTGAACGCCCGGTCTTCATGGAAGTCCTGGATGTATACGTTCCCCTACACTAATCCAACCGGCATTCGGTAGATAGAATCTACCGAACGAGGGGAACATTTGTATGTAACCAGCTGAACCATACGAACGGTGGTTTTCGTGTAGTTAGATGCAAATGGAGACCGGTTCTTGCTACTGATTCTATGGAACTCTAACTCTGATACCTCCACATGGCGAGCCGGTCAAACTTCCACGGAAACTACCGAACGGAAATTCGTGAGATTTGGATATGTAACTACCAGTATCCTCAGCTACCCAGGGATGTTAAAAGTATATTTGTATGTCTTTTAAAAAGTATGTTTCTGAAATTGTTAAAAATTGTAATGTTTCTGGCCAGCAGATAATTGAGCTTTGTGTATTGTAGAAACTCAATTATCTAGCCTGGCCCAGAGGGGGAGTTTTGTGTTGCATAAATTGTGAGTCCTGTGTGCCAGTAAATCAGTCTTGTTCCAGCATTAAGCTTTGGCTCATGTGTGGATTATTCGGCGATTCCAGGGATATTTCTACTTGTGGAATATTGGGCGATTCTTTTTTTACGGTGATACCATATACTACCGTCACAGACTCCACAATTCTGGCTCCATATTACACAGGGGGCAGAGTGTTTGGGGTCTGCCTGTGGGACTCCCAAATCCTGAGGTGTGGATAGCTTGATACCACGCAACAGACCCATAAGGTCCAGACCCACCGGGACTCCTTGAAGTGGAACATGAGTCGCTGAGATGGCCGAACAGATCACATTAATAGAATGCTACAATTGACACAACAAAAATAGGGGATACAAGAAGTTGAAGTAGACAGGTATTGGTGTTTTTAAAGGGATCGGAGTCCTTCATCAGACACAACAAGAGTTCCAAGCGGAGATATAGCTCCTTCTATTGCCAGGAGCCCACGACTCCCATGAAAGGTCCTTAGTCGATTTATGATGAGCCCCTGAAAGCATCTAAGCCACAAGGTCCTAATGATCTGATGAGATGAGAGGAGGGGGTTTCTCGCATTGGTTAATTAGAAGAAGGTTAAATAATAGCAGGAGGAAAGGGTGGTTGTGAGACAGGTCCAGGAACCACGCCTGGCCTGGCCAGAAAGGAGTGATGAGGAGGAGAGAGATCCTCTGGATGCGACTAGAATTGAAGGAACCTTGTTTTCATCAAGGACGGCAGGAACATGTTCATTCACAGAGTCAGCCAAGTCTGACGAAACGCATCCACCGCTTCACACTCCAAATCCAGAAGGCAGCTGAAATACCTCTGAAGTTGCCTGTTGGTCCAAGAGGCAAGGAGGTCCAGTCTTCGCAGACCCTGAGTTTAACCAAACAGAGACTTACAGCTGTCAGTCGCTGCCTTCCTGTCTATTGTGAGAGAACCAATCTGCTGTAAGGTTGGCTACGATGGGAAGAAATGCTGCGAGAGAGACAGAACCTGTAGATGTCCTTCACCGGTTCCACCCAGACAAATGCTATACTGGACTGCGGAGATATTGTCCATGTAGAGTAGCATGCAGCAATTGGACAAGTCCTTGGCCAGGCTGCGGGTGGCAAAGGATTCTGCAATCCGTTCCAGGCTATTTATGTGTAAACTGGTCTCCTCTTCCACCAGGGTCTACCTTGATTCATCTGTACAGTGAGCTCCCCAGCTCAAAAAAGGCTGGCTATCGACTTCACAACATAGTCCGGTGCTTGGACAAATATTGCCTTGCTATTCCACACCAGCATGTGAAGAAACCACCAACAGAGTTCCATCGGAACCTACGACAATAGAGTCACCTAGTGATCATACAACTGACCTGAACGTAGACTTGTGCTTTCAACCCTAGTGTTGCCTGGTATTGCAAAGGTCCTGGGAATATTGCCTGGATGAAAGAAGACAGGATACCCACTATGCGGGCGAAAAGGAGGAGAGGAACTGATTCCATGCAGAGGACTCAACGGATAACCTTTCATATGGTGGATATATTCAAAGTGAGTTGTTGAATGCCAAGACACTGAATGACTTGAGATGGAGGTAGTGCGGATTTCTCTCTGTTCACCATGAAGCCTAATGATTAGAGAAATTGAACGATAAATCTTGTTTGAAAATGCAGCCTGCACAAGAAATCGCAGAAAATCAATGTCATCCAGGTACAAGAATCAGTGAATGCCATTGGACTGAAGTTAAGCCGTAACCGGTTTGAGGAGCTTGTGATGCACAATGGAATGGGGACCAAAGGCAGACATGTGAACTGGTGAAAACTACCCCATTAACGGAAACCAACAACTCACCAGTGTGTAGGGAAATGAGAGATAAATGTCCTTTAGATAAAGAGTGAACAAGATGTTCTCAAGGAGAAGGTCCCACAGAATATGGATCCCTTCCATCTTGAAATGTCAATACACCACAAAGCCATTGAGTTGATGCAAATCGATGACTGGTCGGAAGTGTCAGTCTTCTACTTGACTAAAAAAAAAAATGTTGCTGAAAAAAAAAAAAGTCTCGTCCAGTGCGAATTGCTCTGCACCTTTGCAGAACAGGGTACGTATTTCTTCATGGAAGTAAAGTTTGTACAGGAATAGAATGGAACTCTATGGCATAGCCTTGAACAGTGTGGGAGATCCAGGCATCATTGGAGATCGTCCTCCAATTCTCTAGAAAGAGGGACAATCTGCCCATAGTTATATCGGTAGAAAATACAATCAAATAAGGACTCTTCTGTGGTAAGAACGTCCATGGTCTCTGCCTCTAGTGCCTTTATGAAAGGTGGCTTATGTGGTTGGAAAGTGTAGTGTACTTACCAGAGCCAAAAGTCGGCTGGGGGTCCTCCGCTTGACCTTTATGCAGCTTGATCACTGTGCTTTCTGAGCTGACCATGTGCGCCAACTGTAACGAACAGTGGCGCAGCCCACGTTGTTAATAAGAGCTAACTGATTTGCAGGGCCCATGATGCCCTTGAGAGTGTATGGATGCCCAGTAATTAAAATTACCCCCACCATTGCATACCATTTGCAAAAGTAGACAACCCACGGTCTTCCAAATGGGAGATGTCCAGTATTTTTTTTTTTGTAGCAACTTAGTCACAAACCCTTGCTAACGTTTGTGTTCATTTTTTGCAATTTTCCACACAAAAAAAACCCTGCACATTTACTGATATCATTGCCTTTATACATTTTAGTGCTCTAAAACACTCATATTTGTGTTCAACGATACCTCATGAGTACAATAGTACCACCACATACAGGTGTTGTCAGGCACGTCCCCTGACCATGAGCGGAGTGTAAGAATCCGGGCCTGGGGGTCCAGATAGTTAGGGTGTGCTTTGCTACCCTAATGACATTAAGCCCTACTTTTTTTAGGACAGCATAGCACACCCTAACATCGGGAAGGGGTTAATGCAAAGAGAAAAATGCTTTTGTGTAGAGTTTACATTCTGTGTTTGATTTCTTGGCACATAGTATATAATCCCTGCTTGGAGGAAAATAATGGGAAGTTAATTATTGTCTTGCCAACCTGCAGTGGGGCTGTTACTTTGCACACTTATTTACTAAACCTGAAATTGTAGAGCAATGACAATAGAAATCATTTTTACAGACCATAATAGCAGAGATGGAAAAACCGCTCATGCCTTTTTACATGCACCCCTTTTATACAATTGGAATATGCGGAGATCATGTTTGAGAGGATGCATTAGAGTGGATCTGTATTCTAAGAGGAAATATATCCCTTGTTTTCCGACAGTTATTTATTTTATTTTTTTTTACCTTCATATTTCTTAAGAAAAAGATAATGCCAATCTGTCATCAATTTGTCAATTTTTGTGAATAAAGCCATTCTTGACTAGCTTTATGAAGTTAAGTCATGCTTTAAAAAAAAAAAAAAATACAGCAAACATTTTGGACATTGCTATGGAATCCCATGGAATGTTTGTGCTGGTAGCTTCTTTTTTCCCCAATGTACCTTAGAATTGCTGCAGTTTTAACCTGACACAAAAGGTTTATTTCACTTTATTGTGCTGAATTCGACAATACTATTCTTCGTTAAAACTGCCTGGTCTGTAAGGCTCCTGTACAGTACTATGTGTATGTATACTCATGTTATATATTTTTCTAATGTATAAAGGCAGTACACACAAAGGTGTTTTCCCCTCAAAGGATTAGTAACTTATTAGAAGGACTAAAAATTCTTAGAATATTGAAGAATATTATGGAACTTATGCCTTTTGTATATTAAGCATTACACCCCCTTTGTTCTCCTCTTCCATGATGGCTATAGTTTGGTCTGCTGTGGGATTCCTTCGACTGACTGACTGGGCAGAAAACAAAACATAATTTTAAATATCATTAAGTTACATTAACTAAAATAAACTTTAAAAAGAAAAAGCAAACAAAAATTTGATGGTAACCAATTTGATGGTCCTACCATTCAATCATCTCCCCATACCTTAAAGGTTTTGTCCTGCCCAGGTATATCCATTCTAGTCTGTCCCACCTTGAGGATGGATGAGTAACCTACGTTTTATCTGTTTTATCTATAGGAAGAAGTTGAGCTAGCAGTGGCTGCTATCTGAGCGTAAATTTAGACTTGGGTGTCAATGGTGGAGTCTTGTTTGCAATACCGAGCCAGGTGCCTGTCTCTGGAGGGCATGATTGATAACCCAATTATATTTCAGTCTTTGAAAGCGTGGCTCCATTCCACTGGTAGTCGTTTGAAATGCTACTCCAGGAGATAGAGGTGGCCCTTGGTCCTGCATGCAGCCAGTGGGTGACAGGCTACGTACGAGTACCAATGTAAGTAAATAAAATAAGGTATTTAAACATTGTTCTGACTATCTGACCACAAGGTGCAGGACATTTGCAGCTAAAACACATTATAGAATATTGCCCTGAACAAACATCCTACGTAATAATCTGACTCTTGAAAAAATTCACGGCCCCTAGAACGGTACCTGCTTCACCTTACTTATGAGGATTGTCTGGGGTTGCTGTATCTCTTATGCAGAGAATGCTTTCTCAGATTTAATTTCTGGCCCCATCTGATGTGTTAAGCCAATTAATCATGAATTAAATTAAGTGAGCTTGGTCTTGACCAAAACTAGTTCACCCTGGTTTTGGATAAACTGCTCATATGGGTTGACTAAGAATAAGGGGATGGAGCACACAGTGTTATGGGATCATAACCACTACAATGGCTTTTAGTGGCTGTGGAGTCTAGACTGTTCTTTTGAACAAGGCACCCTGCTCCAATAAAGGATTCAATAATAAAATATGTTAACAAGCATTTATGTTGGTGCAGTACCTCATTTGCCTTGTGTATATATACTAGCCTCCCAATACTCTCCTGAATTGACTGTTATTGTTAATCTTGTTGATCTTAGTTAGGGAGGCGGAGCGGTCACGGTGAGACTACTGCGGCGAGGGAGTAAGGATAAGTAAATATCTCTGTTTAAACCCTCCCGGGACACAAACACACACCAAATTGAGTAGATTTAAACATGTTTGTATTCCTAACACTATAGTGCTCCTTTAAAATATTAATTCACTTTGCATACTTGACAATTCTAACTGTAATGAATAACCCTGAGTTCTAGACAAGTCTGGTGGGGCTTATTCACTCAAATTAACTTTGAATACGGTCTAAAAGGTAAATTTGCAATCAGTCTGCAGACTATAGGCCACAAATGTACATTTAGAAACACTTTCATATGGCGTATCTTGGAATTTAATTGAGAGACAAGGAACTTCTTAAAACCCTTTTCAATTTTTTTGTAGTAAATTTTTGCAATAACTGCTCCTTCTAAGTTTCGAATCATCAACCACAGATCAGAATCCATGACGTTGGAATCTTTAGTAACATGGATAACAAACAAGCGATAAAAATTTTTTTCCCAGTCGCAAAATTAGTTTTTATGTAAAAGAAAAGAATGTCAGTGTAAAAACTCTTTGGATTTTCTAATTGTATTTGAAATATGCATATATTTTTAGTACTACGGATATTCCTTTTTTTTTTTAAATCTAGAAGTTATCTGTAACCAAAATTAGTAATGAACTAAATATGTTTTTTTTAAAATTCCCACAGAGTGGGTAGATGTGTAGTTTTATGGAGAAATTAATCTTTAGTCATTGTGACTGTTGAAACAAGGGCTTATAAAATGTACATTCTCTCCCATGTATATTTTATAATACAACTTTCACCACCTACAGAGAGCTATTAAAATATTTTGTCTGACACTCTCTTGTTAGGTGTGCTGTGAAGCTGATTAAATGTGTAATGCATTACATCACTATGTGTAGGGAAGCCATGTGTCACGCAGCATATTTGACTTGTTTTAATGTAACACAGAGACCTCCCAGATATCCTGCAGCTAAAATGAGCTTATCTAGTTAGCCATTGGGTTATCCATTTAGAACAAGCATGTCAGACTTGGCCCACAATGAATATATTTGTGGCCCGCTTGCCCTGGGGCCACTTTTTGCTGTGGCTGCGACCAGCCGCCAGACAGGAAAGATCTTTCTTGTCTAATTTTTGCCTTCCCTCCTATGGCCAGTCAATCCCTCTTCCTTTCTGATCACATGACTGCTGATCCAGAGAAAAAACACCCCCCCCGCCCTCTCCGTAAATAATAACACTACACCAGAGTTATGGGTAAGGGCAACGGCCACAGCTTTATTAATTATTTGACACAGACCAGCTTTCCATCCAACTGCCAGCTGTTGAGAGACTTCTCCCAACAGGCAGATACCACTTATTTGTCCATGAGTTCATATCAGCCTGCCTACCGCCATCAGCCCTCGGCAGGCTGCGACTCCCCAAGTTGACTCATCCATTTAATTCAATTTCCAATGCGCTGGCCAGGAACACCGCTGCAGCTGTGACAACGAGAAGAAAGAACAAACCAGAACCAAGAAACATACCAAAACAAACGCAATACACAGTCAAAAAACACCATAGGGAGGGTGGGTGGGAAATTAGCAAGTTCTCAATCCTAAATTTACTGAGCAACTGGTAAGGCCCCTCATCTGTCCTGCTTTATATTCCATATTGCAACAAAGTATCCAGTATAGCCACCCCTCCTTACTGCTGGCCTGCAGTCATGCCCTCCCTTCCTTTTCAGTCCAGGGAGATACTTGACTGCTGATCCAGAGAAAAACACCCCCCAAATCCCCCCCGTTGCCCTCCGTAAATAATAACACTACACCAGAGTTATGGGTAAGGGCAACGGCCACAGCTTTATTAATTATTTGACCCAGACCAGCTTTCCATCCAACTGCCAGCTGTTGAGAGACTTCTCCCAACAGGCAGATACCACTTATTTGTCCATGAGTTCATATCAGCCTGCCTACCGCCATTAGCCCTCGGCAGGCTGCGACTCCCCAAGTTGACTCATCCATTTAATTCAATTTCCAATGCGCCGGCCAGGAACACTGCCACCGCGATGTCGACCCCGTCCAGTCCCTCCGGTCGGCATCGCGCCCCCCGCAGCCAGCGCCAACTCCACTCCCGATTTCAATCCCAAATTAAAAATATCAAGCCCAATACTGGTTAGGTGGACCCCATCCCTCCGCATCAAATTCGTGTTATCCCCTTCCAGTTCCATATGCCGAACCACTATGCCCCCGAGACTTCGAACAAACCTGGCAACCGTCATGTTCAATTTTCGCCGAGCCCGCTCAATCCCGCGGGCGTGCGGCAATGCCCGCCAACAGGGGCGCGGAACCATTTCGGACCAATTAAGCATGAGGTCTCGGAAGAGACCAAGTCCTGCTTTATCATCCAGAGAAGATCCACCGTCCTAACCCGACCCAAATCGTTACCTCCCGCGTGAACCACTAACGTAACAGGCCCAGAAACAAACCATTCCGTGAAAAACTGGCCCCAGGAGAGACCCCGAACACCACGCCACCGAACCCTGGCCACTTCAAAGGGAAAGCCTAAGTTCCTCCCGTAGGACCTTTCCTCGACTCTGCTTGCTGCCCAATAAACATAGGAGTGACCCAGAATCCAGACAAAACGAGGGGAACCTACAAGAAAGAACATTACAACAGATGCGGCCGAATATATAACTTGAAGCGACCCGACTCCCACCTGCCCAACCGCTTAATAGAGGCCTCTGACAACCCTAACATGCCTGCTTGGGTAGCGGCCACAATCTGAAAGGAGTGAGCCGAGTAACCTGAAACGTTCACACCGATGGCCAATAAAGCCGCCCTAAGCTTAGCTGAGAACTGATACAGAGTTAATGGAGCCCCATCAGCATGAACCAACAGGGAGCCCACCCGGCCCGCACTAACTGCTAAGTACGATTCCAACAATCGCACCGGGCAGAAGGGGCCGCTGGCGGCACCAATTCGCACCCAGGCACCCAACCCAGCACGGTCGGTTTTAGACCGACAAACCCGAAGATCTAGAGCCAAGGCCGACAGATGCACGTCCGACAATAACATAGGACATAATGACCATAGGTTAGAGGCCACCAGCTCCCCCACCCTAAACGCCCCAAAAAAGCATAAAGAAAAGGCTACCCGAAAAAGTAACACCTCAAAATCAGAAGAACATACCTTCGGAAGAACTTTTAACAAAAGCTCCAACAGGTCCGCCGAGATCGGTCTACGACGATCCTTACCCTTTCGAAGTCTCCAGCCCTTCAACACCCTCTGAATAATGAATTCTTTGGACAGATCCCTCCAACCCAGAAAACGAAAGAAAAAGGACAAGGCAGACATAGCACGAACCGCCACCGCACTGGACTTACCTTGAAACTCCAAAGAGGCTAGGAGAAGCAGAGTGGCTTCGAACCGGCACTCCTCCGATAAAACCCCTTCAGTCCTATCGGCCAAGGACAGCCAGCGAGACCATACCTCCTGATAGGCCCGCCATGACCCCTGGGATAGAGAATCCGCCAACAACCGTCTCAGGCCTCCAAAACCAGGTCCCATAAAGATGGAGGACAGGACAGACCCACTCGGTCTGCTCCGGGCGCCGCCTCTCGAAACCGGTCCCACTGAAACAGAGAAAGAGAGTCAGCCACCACATTCAATACCCCAGGGACATGACACGCCTTAACCCAGACATTAAAGCGTAAACTTATCAGCACTAAACGCCGGAGCAGGGCCAACACCGGAGGGGAGGCAGAGGTAGCCCGCTTAATCACGTGAACAACGCTCAAGTTGTCAGTATGAAAAATGACAACATGACCACTCAACTCATCACCCCAAAGTTACAAGGACACCACAATTGGGAAGAGTTCTAAAAAGGTGAGGTTGCGCATGATATCCCTACCTTTCCAGCCGACCGGCCATGACTCCGCACACCATTGACCACGAAAGAACGCTCCAAATCCCACGGAGCCGGAAGCATCCGTAAAGAGATCCAACGATGTATTGGATGCAGCCTCCCTGAGCCAACATGAGTGGCCATTGTAGGTGCCCAGAAAGGAACTCCAGACGCGTAAATCCTCACGCATGCGATTGTTTACCCTGATGAAATGATGCGGTTCCCGAATACCGACCATGGCCAACGAAAGTCGACGACAGAATGCCCGACCCATGGGCAGAACCCGACACGCAAAGGTCAGGTGACCCAAAAGGACCTGCATCTGCCGCAATTGAACCTACTTAGCTCCTTTGACCCGGTCCACTAATTCCAGAAGAACCGTGAGCTTATCGTCAGGCAACCGAAAAATCATATTCACGGTATCGATTTCGATACCGAGAAACGATAGCACAGTCACCGGGCCCACCGTCTTATTTTCGGCGATTCGGGACCCCAAACTCCTTAGCTATCGCCCTGAAGGAAAACAACAAGTCGACGCATACTTGGGACCCCGGAGGGCCCACAAACAGTCATCCAAGTAGTGCGTGACTGAGATCCGACCTGAATGCTGAACAGTAACCCACTCGAGAAAGGAAGCAAACATCTCGAAGTATGAGCAAGAAATCGCACACCCCATGGGCAGGAACATATCGTAATAATAACTACCACGAAAGTGGCAACCCAGGAGGTGGAAACACTCGGGGTGTACTGGTAAAAGCCGAAATGCAGACTCAATGTCTGACTTGGCTAGCAGGGAACCGGTACCAGCGTCCCGAACCAATTCCAAAGCCCTATCAAAGGATGCGTATCGAACCCGACACACCTCCTTTCCAATGTCATCGTTCACCGAACCTCCAGCCGGATAAGATAGGTGATGAATTAAACGGAAGGAGCCGGGCTCTTTCTTGGGGACTAAGCCCAGCGGCGACACGCGGAGATTGTGAAAGGGGGGAAAGACAAAGGGGCCGGCCATCCACCCCAGTCGAATCTCCTTATCCAATTTGTCTTGTAACCGTTCCTCCATCCCGCGGACCGATTTCAAGTTTTCCGCGAAACAAAAGGACTCAGACAGGACAAAGGGGATCCAAAAACCTTTCCAAAATCCCCCTAAAAGAACTGCCGCGGCACGTCTATTGGGATACCGGTCGAGCCACGGTTGCATCCTTGTGACGCTCACTGGAGTCCTTGCTTCTAGATAAGTCATCCCTACCGGAACCCTTCCCCGTGCTCTGTCTCCCTTTTTTAAAGCAGCGCATAGCGGGGTGTGCTCCTCCACAATGAGAGCATTCATGTCTAAAGCAACATGAACTGAACCATTTGCACAGGCTTTCGTTGAACAGCCAGCAGACTCCTCTTGTGGCCTGCCGGCGCACCACTGTGCGCGCCAGCAGGCCCTGGAAAGGGAGATGGTGATGGTCTACACGGCGTCATCAGAAGTAGCCATAGGCTACAATCCTCCATGCTGAAGTCCATATCTGGGCATGCTGCCATTTTTTGCCTAAACTGTTGGTCATAGCGAAACCAACACTGGCCCCCATAAATCTTATAAGCCCCCCAGATTAAATCCAGATACCCAAATAGGGAGCTAGCCTTCTCTGGGAAACGACGGACTAGGATACTAGAATAAATATTAAATCCTTGGAGCCAGTTGCCGAATGTGCGAGGAATCTGTTTAGACTTATCGCCCTCATGAGGATCCCCCCTACGGGGCCTGTCAACAGATTCCCTGTCAGGGGGAACTAAGGACAAGAAGTCAACGTACTCACCATTACAAATCCTGTCCTGAGTCTCCGCAGGAATATGGACTCCCAGGGGGGATATGATACACCCAGGCAAACAAGGTCTAAACCCTCCTTGAACCCCCCTAGGAACCTGCACACTATTGCTCTGCGCCTGCGACCCCCCCCAGACAACTGATCTAATCTGCGCGCAGTAAACTCACAACCTCCCTAGAGCTGCCCTGATCCCCAGGCAATGCACCCCATACGCTCGCGCAAGTCAACTCACCCCTGGAGAGTGGCACAGGCGGCTCCTGCACTGTGGGCATGCCAGCTTCTTCCTCCTCTTCTGTCCAAGAGTCTGCATCTGACTCTGCCCGAGCAGCACTTCTTCCCTGTGCACGCCTGCTGTCTGTCAGCAGAGTTGAGCATCTTCTGGTGCTCCTGCCTGTCTGTGGCAGAGCTGCAGGGCTCCTGGTACTCCTGCCTATCTGTGGCAGAGTTGCAGGGCTTCAGGCAGGGCTTCTGGCTTCTCCTCTGTGTATTCTGCCCCTCCTGCCGGCTTCCGGCAGAGTTGCTGGGCTATTCCGAACGAAACTAGGAAGTGGAGGCGGGGCCTGTGACGTGGCAGCTTCCGGCTGTGCCCGCGTCACGTACGCGCCCCCCGGCGGTGCGTCCGACGTCACTCTTCTACGCCCATCCGTCGGACGCGATTATGACATTTCCGGTCTTGCCGGAAGAGAAGGCGGACTCCGTGACCGCACCTCCCTGCTGGCGCCATCTTGGGCCCTTGCCCCCCGACACAATGACGGAGCGCCCGCACCTGGCATTCACCTGGGGGGCCTCCTTTGCACGATCCGCACCGGAACTCTGCTCACCAACCCTCCGGTCTCCGCGCCTGGTACCGGTTCTTCTCACAGGACTGGGGGATAACCGCGCCGGAGGCCTTGTCCTCCGGGTCCTCTGGGCCCTCCGACCGTCTGCAGGGGGGTCTTCAGCCGTCCTCTCCAACATCAAAGTACCCGAACTTCCAGCGACGCCGGCCATCACTGCATCCAGGGCGCCTGAGCCATGAGACTCCAGGTAAGCCTGTAGCATTGCAACCAGCACCTCTTGGGACACCGTTGTTGAAGTAGATGCCATAGTGAAATAAGAACTACTGCAAACCTAACAAAAACTGCTCCAAACCTAACTATAGGTAAATCACTAGGCCCTATACTATGGAAGTAAAATTAGCAGGTTCTCAATCCTAAATTTACTGAGCAACTGGTAAGGCCTCTGTCCTGCTTTATATTCCATATTGCAACAAAGTATCCAGTATAGCCACCCCTCCTTACTGCTGGCCTGCAGTCATGCCCTCCCTTCCTTTTAAGTCCAGGGAGATACTGTGCTGGAACTGTATGTGGGGCGAGGGGGGCAGTGTATTAAATGGGGGGAGAGAAGGGGCAGTGTATTAGATTGGTGATGAGGGGAGGGGCGGACAGTTTGTTAAATTTAGGGAAGGAGGAGGCAATGTATTAGAGTGGTTATAGGGGGGGCAGTGTATTAAATTAGAGTGGAGGGAGGAGGAACAGTGTATTAGATTGGGTGGAGCAGGCAGTGTATTGGATTTGGAGGGTAACGTATTGGATTCGTGGGCAGTGTATTAGAATAGGAAGAGAGGCAGTGTGTTAGATTGGGTCTGTCCAAGAGTCTGCCAATTCGTGGGCAGTGGATTCATGGGCAGTGTGTTAGATTGGGTCTGCATGGAAGCACCGAACGCTCCCCATGGAGATGCTGATTGGCCGCGCAGCTTTTTGCCACACATACACAATAGCCTACCAATGCTTTCCTGTGGGAAAACATAGATTGGCTAAAATCAACAGATTTGATGATCTCAGTGAAGAACACACTCATAGGACTTTAAAATCAACAATATAACGTCATTTGTTTTTTACAGCTGTGCAACAACATACATTCACCATTTCAGTCCCATTACCAAACTTTTCTTAATATGTCAAGGTAGTTGGCCTGAAACATTGGTTATATGCAAATGCACGTCTCTTTAAAAAATATTCGCTCTTTTGTCTACTTTGAAAGCCTACGAGCGTGAGGACATCCAGTGTCAGTAAGGCAACTTTTTTTGTATTGTAATTTTCTAAATAAACCATTTCTTTGAAAAGTTTTTATTTTTTTGCCGCCCACATCAACTTAAACCTTGTTTATTTGGCCCGTGTTAGACTGAGTTTGACATGCTTGATTTAGAACATGGAGGTCGTTCTCTAACCGGGTGGCTACACCTACTTTTTATGCAACAGTTTAGACATTGCCAGACCACTGCCTTTTTCATGGGTCACACACAGCGTCCTTGCCTTGCGATGCACTTGACGGGCTTTGAGGATTTGTACCTTTGGGCTAATCTCCGGAGCTTGGGATATCTTCTGTATGCCACTCTGAAGTGCCAATGTAATTGGCATAAGTGGGTGGAGGGGGACTATTTAAAATTAACTAGGTGAAGGTCTACCCAAAACTAGAACCAGCAGGGAGGGAGTTACCTCAAAACTTTACTGAATGTTGTCTATAAAAAGTAAATGTACACAGCATCATATGATATCAAGTTAATACGGTGCCACTGCTTATCTTTCCATTATTTGTGTTGTACACGTTTTTTTAAAGTAATTTAAATGCTAATGAGTTCCCTTTCACCTAATTGTAGTTAGAGCTGACTTCTATCTAATAGCTCTGTTTGTTTCCTGTTGAAAGTGTCCAGCACTTACCATGGAAACCAGCAAATCACATGAGCTTGGCACACAGAGCACCACTTAATACAATGAGCTACAAAATGTATCCATTGTTTCTGAAAGGCTCTGCGATTCTGTTAGTACGGGTCATGAGAAAATGAAAGCGTACACAGTGATTATGCAATACAAATAAAATCTCTTCAGTCTGCTGATATAAAATAAAATTTGATTGTGCAGGTTGTAATGACTTTGTGCATATTATTATTATTTTATTATTTATATAGCGCCAGCAAATTCCGTAGCTCTGTACAATGTGTGGACTAACAGACACGTAATTGTTACCAGACAAATGGAGGCACAGGAACAGAGGGGTTGAGGGCCCTGCTCAATGAGATAACATGCCCACTAAACTCAATATTAATACCTTTTAACCAATTATCAGGTTCCGTTCCAAAGTTAGAAAGTATTGCATTGCAATGTCCCTGGCAAAATATGGTGAAAACATCCAGAACATTTTCCCTATCAAAAAGTCTAGAAAAACACTTTCATTTTCAGATAGAACTGTTGGATTTCTGAATACAAATGTTTTTTTTTCCTTTCTTGTGGCATCTATTAAAGCGGCACTGTCATGCTGAACTTACCTTTCCCCAATCGATTTCCTTTTCTCTCCCTCTGTCAGGATCTGTTCTCTGTTTCTTCCTGTCTGCTCTAGTTTTCTTTAAAACATAAGACAAAGTAGAGACTATTTGTCTTATGGAGGTTTCCTACGCCAGACCATCTATGGCCAGCGGAGGAGCAAAGTGTGCTCTGTTTCCTGTGGTCAGACTGCTGGTGAAACTACCGAACAGTTTGTTCATTCATGTTAGGACGCAATTGGGAACTTTGTTCGGATCGGAATTTCATTTGAATTAATTGCCGATCTGATTTGTGCCGCGGCTGCATTTTGCAGCCGCTTAGTAGATAACTCCCTAATTCCCACAGTATCAGGGAGCTATCTACCAAAAGGCTGAAAGACCTAAATTGTGTGCTGTATTACTGGATTGATATCACAATCCAGTAATACAGCACACATTACTTGGGAAGTAACTGCTGGGTAATCATTAAGTCAGACCCTGAAGCTTCCTGTGACAGACAGCCTGGTGGCTGGAAGAGGTGGCCGATCTCCCGCCTCTGAGCGCACATCTCATAGCGAGCTGCTTATAGCCCTATTTGGAACGGAGAAAGGTCCCCACTGCGTGTTAGCCTGCACATAGACTAGCAAAAAGGGGATACATGCACCTCTAAACTTTGGGTCCTTCACAAGGAATGGATCGAGAAGGCCTTTAAACAACTGTGGTTACAGTTTTGGGCCAAAGTCACTGAAAGGGGACAGGAACAAGCAGCAAACAAACAAACCTCGGCAGTCCACAACATGACATACGCCTAAATCAAGGTCTACTCCTATCTGCGATGCCACATACATCACAGAGACAGAGGGAGAAGACGCAGAGGGCCCCTCAACTCCGAAACCGCAATGTAGTCTGCCATCACTTACCTGGGTCTACAAGGGGAAGTCTCCCCAAGCATGCCTCACAATCTCGGGAGGCATGTAGTTAGTACAGAAATTAACCAACTGTGAGGAGATCCTGAGTCCCCGTCCCGACCGCAGAAGGCGATCAGACAAGTGAGGAACAAGTGCTGGGCTGTGTTAGATCCTCGGGATGGTGAGAGAGTTCAGCTGAGAACCAGAATCTTAAGCAATCTCTGGGTGGGCTGTATTGGTTAGTGGGCATAGGTTAAGCACCCTCCTTGATATAGAACCTGGTCTCATATCTTCTTTAGGCCTCAAGACTTATATATGGCAGTATTATATATTTACACCTGTACTTGTGTGCACCCACTTTAAGCCTTAGGTTTTCAGTTCATTTTCATGTTTTACTTAATGGTTGACACCAATGGAATTACCCTCCTGTTAGCATTATAGTAGTAATACTCATGGGCACTATGCCCTTCATCTATTTTAGTTCATGTATCCAATACCTTTGCTGAGCACTCTACCCTAGTAATCTGTTGGAAATCTATTCATAGCACCGTGTTCTTTTAGCCTGACTAATATATACAAAACGTTCAGAGGCGTAACTAGAAACCACAGGGCCCCGTTGCGAAAATTGCACTGCCCCCCCAGTACATCTCCCCACCCCTTCATTTGTATAATTTAAAGGACCATTATAGGCACCCAGACCACTTCAGCTCAATGAAGTGGTCTAGGTGCCAGGTCCATCTAAGATTAACCCTGCCTGCTGTAACCAAACTGCACAAATTTGCTTCCGCGCTTCTCACTGTGATTTTCACAGTGAGAAGACGCTGCCGTCCATAGGAAAGCATTGAGAATGCTTTCCTATGGACTGGCTGAATGCGCGCGGCTCTTGCCGCACATGCGCATTCAGCCGATGACGGCAGAAGGAGGAGGAGAGTCCCCAGCGCCGAGGGAGAAAAGATGCAGCGGCGCTGGAGAAAGATGAGTGTTTAACCCCCTTCCTTCCCCTTCAGCCAGGCGGGCCATGAGAATGGGGGCACCCTCAGGGCACTATAGTGCCAGGAAAATGACACAGACACACATTCAGATACACAGAATGACATTTCTACAGATACAAACACTGACACACATACACACATGCTGATACACAGACACATATAGACAAATGCAGATACAAATGCACAGAATGACATGCATACAAATACAAACCGTGACACACATACAGATACATAGGGGCACACACTGACACACATGCAGACAAATACGCATACAGACACACTTAAAAGGTTACTATAGTCACTGAAACAACTTTAGTTTAGTGAGGCAGTTTTGATGTATAGATCATGCATCTGAAGTTTCACTGCTCAATTCTCTGCAATTTAGGAGTTAAATCACTCTTGTTTCTGTTTGTGCAGCCCTAGCCACACCTCCCCTGGCTCTGATTCACACAGCATGGAAAAAGGATATTATAAAAATGTATTTCTTAAAGGGACACTATAGTCACTGAAACAACTTTAGTTTAATGAAGCAGTTTTGGTGTATATAACATGGCTTTGAAGTTTCACTGCTCAATTCACTGCCTTTTAGGGGTTACATGACTCATTTCTGTTTATGCAGCCCTAATCACACCTCCCCTGACTGTGACTGACACAGCCTGCATTAAAACAAAATGGTTTCACTTTCCTCAGATGTAACTTACTTTAAAAGTTTTTTTCTCCTGCTCTGTAAATTGAACTTTAATCACACACAGGAGACTCCTGCATGGTCTAGCAAGCTATTAATACAGCAAAAGAGATACGGAATATAAAGGAAATGTAAACATTAGATGACTCTTTACAGGAAGTGTTTAGGAAGGCTGTATATGTCACATGCAGGGAGGTGTGTCTAAGGCTGCATAAGCAAAGTGATTTAACTCCTATATGGCAGAGAATTGAACAGGGAGACTACACGGGTATGATCTATACACCAAAACTGCTTTATTAAACTAAAGTTTTTTTTGGTAACTATAGTGTCCCTTTAATGACAAACATTCATATACACAGAATGATACACATAATGATAAAACTAGTGACACACATACAGATTCACAGGGGCACACACTGACACACATACATACACAGATATACATACGGACAAATATGCAAACAGATACATATACTAACACAGAACACACAGACAAGAATATAGACATGCATGCAGATACACAAACACAATTAATGACAAACATTCAGATACACAGAATGACACACATACAGATATAAACTGTGATACACATACAGATACATCGGGGCACACACTGACACACATGCAAACATTTACACACACAGACAAAGATATACATACAGACAAAGAGATTCACATACAGACATTCACAAACACACATAGATACAGACACACAGATACAGACAGGGCCAGACTGGGGATACAAAGCAGCCTTGGAAAAAAAATTTATGCCAGCCCCATAAGTCACTGCGCCATATATTGTCGCATGTAATATGTAAGGCTATGTCTTGCCATGACAGATGATTGAGTAATATATACATATATCTTTTTTTTAATATAAAATATTGGTCCTTTCAGAGTAAAACGTTTAATTATACAGTAAGCATACTCACATGCAGACACAGACAATCTCACTGACATCTCAATGACACACACAAGCTCATTGATACACAGCCTCATAGACAAACAATCTCACTGATATACATCAGCTCATTGACATAAAAACACAAGCTCACTCACTAGCAGGCACGCACACACACACACGCAAGCTCACTCACTAGCAGACGCGCACACACACAGTTTAATGTAGTGGTACTGGTGGCTATAGCATGTCCCTACAGGCTTTTCAATATAAACACTGACTTTTCAGAGAAAAGGCAGTGTTTACATTGCTTCAAAGTGACACCGCTAGTGACAGTCACTCATACGGTCAATAGAGGTACTTCCTGTGTCAGTGCATCTACATTCAGGGCCTCCACACTCTGTAGGTGCTGAACGTTCCCCATAGAGATACATTGATTCAATGCATCTCTATGAGGAGATGCTGATTGGTGTAGCGTTTTGCAGCCAATCCTATGGCAAAACATTGGATTGGCTGAGATCATCAAGCTTGATGATCTCAGCCATAGAGGCAGTCGAGGAGAGACCAGCACACTGCGTGGGGAAAAGAAAAACTGAGCAAAAACACTATTTTTAAACACACATATACACCATGACAGTCACAGAAACACACATATACCATGACAGACACACACACACCATGACAGATCATGACACAGACAGACACACACACACCATGACACAGACAGACAGACACACACCATACAGACAGACACACCATTACAGACAGACAAACT